CCCGAGAGAGAAATATTGTGAGCTACGTGAGATTGGCACAGCGATCGATGATGATGCACCAGCATCTCCCAGCACGATTCATAATTGGAACACCGAGCCAATCAATACTTGCCCACTGAAGTAAGACACAAATTCACGACGCGAATTCCAAACTCAACAGTTGGGCGTAAAGAATCATCTTAATCAAATCCCCAGCGTTACGATGATCAGGTCTGATGATTAGACCTTCACAAGTCAGCATCGACTCGGATCATCATGAGACGAAGTCAGAGTGAAAAGTTAAACCTTCTTTTTTCCAAGTATCTTATTGACAGCCGCCGCAGCATTCACGCGGCCGAATGACATAGTCTTTTTCCCTTTGCTGTCCTTGATACCTCCAGTGGCCGTGTCCATGATGATACTTTTGATGTAAGCAGGGGTCAGCTTATCCTCCAGAGAAGGTTCAAGGCTGTAGAGCATCCCAGCTATACCCGCTACGATAGCGGCGGCACCCGAAGTGCCCGACACAGCGCCATACACCCCTTCGAGAAAAGTTGTAGCTATATCGTAACCTGGAGCGGCGATGTCAACAGCTAAACCGAAACTATAGTTGCTTCTATCTTCAAGCTGCATATTGGAACCATACGTTGCAGCCACACATAACACTCCATCAGTGGGTGAACGGCTGAAGGAACAAGGGAAGTATGGGGCTTTGTCCAGATCCAGGCGCTCATTCCCTGCCGTGATGACAACGAGCATGCCAGCTGCAGTTGCTTCCCGAATCTTTTCGGTAACGGCTTGGGAACTAGTTGAATCGGACCCTTCCGTCATGAGAATAACTCTCACATCACCTTTCCTCTCAGTGATCAGGTAGGTGAAAGCATCTTCGATTGCGGAATAAGTCAAATCTTCACCGTCGAATATGGGCAGTATGCGCACACTGTCCAGAATACCCGCTATACCGATCTTGTTATTTCTGATAACACCAATGACGCCAGCCATGTAGGTCCTACTATAGTTGATCTACGTTCCACGCAATGGACCACTCTTTATCACTTCTATTCTACTCTCCCCTCTAGTTACTCTCTCTCTCTGAGTCCCACATCAAGAACAACTCGTAATTGCATAAAGTGACGACAGCTTTTATCCCTCATGTATTTTTAGATTCTCAACGATTAAAAATTTCATCATTTTTCCCCACTATAATGATTGCTGCACTCTTTATATCTTGTATACCTCTCATTCGCCGCAATGAAAATTTCACGGTGAAACGAATACATGCGTTGCATGGCGTACTGCACTCACCACAGAGCCACAACGTTGAAAATCATTCTCTTAACTGTCTCGTTATCCAGTCCAGTATTGCAACTCACTTAATAGGGTCATACGAGGGAAGTGGAGATTAGAACGAAACTAACTTGAGCCAAACTGCTACACCGCGACACGGACTCATGTGTGCACACTGCCTCTAGATCTATCTTGGTTGTTCATATACCACCACGCCACCGGGCTCCCAAAGACCAACAAAACTAAACCAAATATCTGTCATGACCATCAGTCGATCAGCCGTCTCGGATCTATCGATCCGTTTCGATCGCTAAT